TTGGAGACAACCATTACAGGGGACAAACATGTTTAGAGTGGTGGGAAAATTAAACAGACTTAAAAAAGTGTTGCTAAAGTTAAATAAAGACAAGTTTGCAGAAGTAGAGAAATATGAAGATGAAAGCATGAAGAAGCTGGTAGAGTGTCAAGAGAAAATACAAAAAGATCCCTGTCGATGCCCCCTTTTTCCAAAGGCGAAATCGGGTTTACGACATTTGGGCGGACAACTCTATTTCTTTTGGGAATTTGGGTTTGAGATTTAGAAGAGTCGCCACCTAATAATTAAGTGCATTAGGACACTAAGAATTTAAAAGAAAGAAGAACCAGAGAATGGGTAAGGGCTTGAAATTAACTCAGGGGGAAGGTGTTAGGCACCCCCCAAGATCCACTAGCGTGGTTCCCGGCCATGCTACAATTGTGACTTTAAAACAAGTAAACATACAAGACAACTTCCACATAACGATTACAAGTAGGAATGTATAAAGATTAAATAAACATGCTGAAGTGAGGAAATGGGTGGTTTCATAGTTGTTTAAAAGAATGTATAAGTGCAGGAAAATAAGGATCAAATAACGAGTGCAAACAATCAGACAAAAGAAGTGAAATGGGCGGAAGTTCAAAAAGAAAATAGTGCTGGAAATTCAAAGAGGTTTTAAATGATTTGAAGCAAAATACAAGGTTTAAAGAGCTGGAAACTGACAGTTTAAAGAGAACAATAACGAAAGTACATAAGGAGGAGGGGGGTCCTAGGTTTATAAATAACATGGATCATCCACGCAACACCTGGTAACCAATTATACGCGTGGTGTTATCGCGTTATCATCATATCCATGTCTACCCTTTCCCACACCGTTAAGGTACTAAAGCGCGGAATAGTCTCGTTACTTATTGCATGCTACTACCCGCCTCAATCCTATCAGTCCCGGAGGCTGTTGGGACTACATTCCTAAAGGGAAGGGATATTGACTTTTGAAGTTTAAAAGGCCAAAATCTAGTGCGACAAACAAAACACATAAGAGCAATTAAGGGGAAAACACATAGCAGTTAAGGCTCAAAGGGGGCCTCCTCATTCAAAACAAAAATTATTTAGCATGACTTGCAAGTATTGGTTAGGTCTTTAATTACACTTAAATGAAAAGGGGGCGGGTGGCTGATTTATTACATATTTTTAGATAAGAAGTCCGAATTAGGCCTGCCTGCTGGTTGTGATTATTAAAGACTGGTATAATTAATTGATTACCTAATAGTTTGCCTAGGTGAGACCTATAGGCATGATGTCTAACAAGGCGATACATACTGATTTTAAGGGAGGATTACTGATTTTAGAGATGAACCAATTCCGCAGATGTTAATAATATTATTACTGATTTTAGACTTGCGGATGAATCAGATTTAAACGACTGCTCCTATAGGCATGAATTGTAAGCGTTACTGATTTTAAAACGGTTATGCAAGTGAAGGAATCCTATGAGCATGGTATCTAGGATGCAATTGCTTGTTCCTTAGCCTATGGATTGTTTTGCCTAATGTCATATGCATGTGCAAAAATACAGAAATTTATAGGCATGGCTTCTATATGTTGAAATGCAGAATCTTAGAGGCATGGCTTCTATATGCTGAAATGAAATAAACTATAGGCAGGATCTCTATATGCAGTATTGAAATAAACTATAGGCAAGGTATCTATATGGAGAAAATCTATAGGCAGGATCTCTATATGCAAAAACATAAACGAAAGTGTTGTGGTTGCGGAAATAAAGACCTAAAACATGATATCTACCCCATATGCATAACATGAGAGACCCTCCCCCATTGTATACTATACACCCCATAAGTATTACAAAATTATTACAACTTGAATGAATCCAAAAATTAAATAAAAATTACATCCGAGATTAAAATTCCAACCAAGGAGAGCCTAATTCAGACTCCTAGTTTGAAACATGAAATAAATCAACTTCCAAAGATCAGATTTCCAAAGCCTTTCTCATTTGGGTGTGTCAGAGTTCCAAGGAGCTTCATGAATTCCAGGCAGTGCTTACACCCAATTACATTTGCAGGATCAGATTATGGTGCAGTGTGGAATGGTCAGCCCTCATATGTCCAAGTTCAGAGGGAACTCAAGGTCCCCAAGGCAAGGCTCATAGGAGGGGGGCAGAACTTAGAGTATAAGAATAAGTGCAAGTGCAATAGAGGGGGAATCAGGGAAGGCCATAACAAACTAGTGGTCATGCCCAGCAACTAGGATACTGGCACACCCCTGACCATCCCGTCAGCTTAAATTTTAGAGTTAGGACCTATTGAAGGTCAGTTTCAGACCTGGGCAGCAATTTGGATACTGCCAGGCCATGAACTTTAACTCAGCACACAAAAGGGAATGGGGGTATGTGGGAGACATAAGAGAAAGTAACATGTTTAATACAGAATATGAACAGCAAAGTAGACATGAATAGGACAACTGTAAAGTGAACACATTGTGAAGGAACTAAAATCAAATGGAGACATACCAATTTCAGGGAAAACAGGTAAGTAAAACAGCAGTCTTGAAAAGCCAAGTTGCAAGCAAAGCAGTACAAAAGTCTCAGCAGAGAGTAGAGAGTTTGCAAGAGCATTGTGACTGAAAGTGGGTGTGTGAGGGTATGAGCATTGAACTTTTGGGATTCAGAAGTTCAAAGTTCAAGAGTTGTAAAGTTTTTTTTCAGAGCTTAAAACTTGTTTCAATGCAGAAGGGTCGAGCCCCTTTTATAATGCAGCAAATAAGCAAGAAAAAAAGTAAGGAAATAACATTGCAATCAGTCTCCCTTTAATTGAGGGATTCTGATTTCAAACGGGTAAAAACAATTATAGAAAGGGATTTTGAAGAAATATTTTCCCAGTAGTATAATAAAGGGTAAGTACATAGAAGCTATTTAAGGCAACAAACTAATAGTACGCGGTTTGCAAAAAAAAAAAGGAAAGGGAATCAACCAGTAAAAATTAAAATTTTAGACTTTTACTTGAATGAATCAAGTCAGGAAAGGGGTAAAGAAATGTTCAATTAGGGAAAACCAGTAACAATCAAGTGAACACAATTAAAGGAATTCGGGATCAATCAGTAGTTGGCAAAGCCCTTTTTTGAAAGAAGAGTTCTCATATATAAACACACGAATATGTAAATCGAGGAGAGACTGTTAAGTTATTTAAAAGAGAATTTAACCAAAGAAAAATTCAGAATCATAAGCAAGGAGATGCAGGTTCAATCTGCAGACTCATAATGAGTCTGAGAGTCCAGGGTCCCAATGTGGAACCCTGACTTGAACACAAAAATCTAAGTCGTCAAAGGAAACCCCCAAATTCTAGGGTTTCACAATTGAATCAGACATGGAAAGCAAGCCATTTGTTTCAGAGTCTCAACAAAAACAAATATGATAGCATGCTTGAACGACAAAGATAAGTCATGAAGAACATATTTGAGAAAACTCAAAGCCTAAACGAGTTCAGAAGAAGGAAATAATACAAACTTGAACACAAGTAGATGAAGCATGTAAGAACATGAACAGAGTCCAAAAAATCAAACGGTAGGCACACATAGCAGAAGAGTAGTGAAAACATAGCAGGAGTAGAAAAGAAGAGGTAAAGGACAATATATGCATAAAATAAAAGAAATCATACGAGCAGGGTGTAAACAAACACACATAAACAAAGAAGAAAAAGAATCAGAAAGATTTTTTTTCCAAAAATCCTTTTAGAAACCCTAAAATCGGAGAGAAACGATTTAGACAAAAACTTTTGGGGAAAACACTCTAGATGGCAAGAAAAGCATAGACACAGTATAGATCTAAACAAATAACGGTGAAAGAACCTCGAATGGCTTAGGGTTTCGGAGAAACCCTAGAAATGAGAAAGGCCTTGAGGAAAGTCAGATCTTGAGTCGAAAAAGACTCATATTGCCTGAATACGACGGAGTAATGGCCGGAGAAGCCATAGATCTACAAATCTGAGAAGGTCTTGAAGAGAACCATCATAGGCGGGCTTCAAATCATCGAACAGCTTAGGTCTAATGGTGAGAAAGGGTGAGCACAAGTCATCCATGGCCTGGAACGCCATGGATTCCGGTGGATTTCAGGGCGGAGGCGGCTAGCGTTAGAGAAGGTTCGAGAGTGTTTGAGAGAGAGGAGGGTTTCAGGGGCGGCGGATAATTGAAAAATGAGTTAGGGTTGGTGGGGTTGATCAATTAAAAAGGAAAGAATGAGTGTGCGCCGTTGATCTGTTAGATCAACGGCTGGGATTAAAAGAAAAGGTCCAGGCGGGTTATTTGAGTGGGTCGTGGGTCGGGTGAGCTTAGGATTTAGGCCGGGTAATGGGGTTTTAAATTTGGTTTAATTGGGGGGCTAATTTAGGCTAAAATTGAAATGATTAGGGCTAGTATTTAAATAGCCATTTTCCCTTTTTATTTTATAAAAATAGTAAAACAATTTCTGGAAACAAATTAAAAGTACTAAATTAGTTACTAATATGTAAATATTAAATTAAAAATACTGGAATCAAAATTTGTAATTATAAACGCAATTAATCTTAAAATAGGCTAGAATTGCAATTATGTGCAATTTAATTTTAAAATACTCAATAAATTTGTAAAAAATGTGCAAAAAAATTACCTTAGCTATATTTTGGTATAAATATGAGGATAAAATAAATTAGTCACCAAAATGATAATTTGAGGAATAATTATTGATTTCAGTACTGCTAAAATGGACAATAAATTGATTTTAAAAATCTTTAAAAATTAGGAAAAAACCAAAACACTTAGATATGCTTATATATACATATATATGCTATTTTGAGAGTATTTGTTTTGTATATAAAAATTATAGGGAAAAATTGGGTATCAACAATCCCAGGAGTGAAATGTTAGGCAAAAAGGAGAAGGAATTGACAAAGCAATACATATACTAGAAGGAAGAAAAAATAAACTATTTGCAGCAAAAGAGTAAAATACAATGGCTTAAATATGGAGACATGAACACAAGATATTTCCACTCGGTGATCAAGGCAAAGAGGGTAGCAAGCAGAATATTCACAATTCAGAATATGCAAGGAGAAACAGTTCAATCAACAGATGCAGTAGCTGATGCTTTCAGAGAATTCTATACAAGTCTACTGGGCACTAACAAGCAGAACAGAGATCATGTGGCAAGCCACATAGCCAAAGAAGGACAGATTGTCTCAGAAGAACAAATGAGCCAGCTGATAAGAGATTTTTCACAAAAGGAAGTTAAAGAAGCAATATGGGATATAGAAGGGACAAAGGCACCAGGACCTGATGGGCATGGTAGCCAATTTTTCAAGGATAGCTGGACCATTGTAGGGGAGGATATCACTGCAGCTGTGCTGGAATTTTTTCAATCTGGAAAATGCTCAAGGCTCTTAATAGTACAATGATCACCTTCATACCAAAAACCTCTCATGCTGCAACGGTTGAAGATTATTGACCTATAACATGTTATAATGTGGTGTATAAGATAATCTCAAAGAAACAGATTGAAAGTGGTGCTGCCAGACATCATATCACAAAACCAAAGTGCACTTGTGGTAGGGAGAACAATGGTGCATAACATACTGATCTGTCAAGACTTGGTCAAATTATATAATAGGAAGTAAACCACTAAAAGCTGCTTGATCAAGGTGGATTTGAAGAAGGCATATGATTCCATTGAATGGAAATTTGTTGAGGAAATGATGCATGCACTAAACTTACCTGGACTATTCATAAGGTGGATTATGGCATGTATCACAACAACCAGCTACAGCATAAATTTAAATTGAGGGTGCTATGGCAAAATAAAGGGGAAGAGAGGACTAAGACAGGGGGATCCAATCTCCCCTTTACTGTTTGTGATTTTTATGGAATATTTCACACGCATCATGGTACATGTGGCTAAGGATGAAGAATTTACTTATCATACAAAATGCAAAGGATTGAAGCTGACACACCTTTGTTTTGCGGATGATATGATACTATTCAGTAAAGGAGATTATACATCAGTAATGCTCATGCTAGGGGGACTCAGGTTGTTCTCGAATGCATGTGGTATGACAGTTATGCAAATAAATCGAATATCTTCTGTGCGAATATGAATGGTGGAGAGATAGAAGACATATGTGAGCTAACAGGATATAAGAAAGGTAAACTACCATTTAAGTATCTTGGAGTGCCTATATCCTCAAAGAAATTAAGTGCGGTAGATTGTGAAATGTATCAAGATACTGGTAAGGATAAAAGGATGGGGATCCAGGAACTTATAATATGCAGGGAGAACTCAATTGGTAAATACAATGTTGTTGCACCTGCACTCATACTGGGCACCAATATTCCTACTTCCAATAGGGTTGTGAAAGACATTGTAGCTATATGTAGAAATTACTTACGGGATGGAGTGTCACCAACAAATCACCACTAGTAGCATGGGACCTAGTCTGCCAACCAAAAAGAGAGGGAGGATTAGGAATACAAGAATGTTTGGCATGGAATGAAGCAGCATTGGCAAAATATGTATAGAATATAGAGCAAAAAAGTGATTCATTATGGGTTAAATGGGTAGATCACATGTACATAAAGGGCAAGGACTGGTGGAAATACAAACCACCACAAGATAGTGCATGGTATTGAAAGAAGATATGTGATATCAAAATAGTTTTTGCTTCAGGCTTTGAACAAAAAGGGTGGAAGGGGCAAAGGAATAGATACACAGTAAATGAAGGATACCAATGGAGAAGAGGAGCAGCAACCATACACAAGATGGATTTGGAATTGATTAAATATTCCAAAACATTATTTATAGGCTAGTTGATCATGAGACAGAGACTACTTACGAGGGATAGATTACATCTGATGGGAGTAAGCCAGGAGAGAACATGTCTACTATGTGGGATGCAGGATGAAACAGTACATCATCTGTACTTCGAGTGCCATTTCTCCTGAAGATGCATTGATGAACTATCCAGCTAGTTGGGAATAAAGCTGAAACAACCAGATATGCAGAGCATTTGGAGGAAAATAGGAAGATGTATAAAAGGGAGAACATGCCGAGGATTCGTGACCTCAATCATCATAGCAATAATGTATGGAATATGGAGAGCAAGGAATGAAGCTCTATGGAATCAGAAAGTACCAATGCCAACAAAGATGTGAAAGAGCCTAAAAGAGGATAGCAAATACACGCTACAACTCATAGAAGCCAATAGAAAGAATAGGAAAGAAATAGAGTGGATCAATCATTTGTACAGATAGGAAAAAGCAATGACTATGCAAGAGTGTAGAACTAGGTTCTAACTGGGCAAACCTACCTAGTACGGATGCTCAAGGAGAAGAGAATAATGATATAGTTTTGACTTTGAACTTGATAGGATAGCTTATTGATTATGGTAGGGAAATATCACTTGTAAATAACTTTTTCTGGTGGGGATTAATAAAAAATTTCTTTCACAAAAAACAAAAATCACAAAACACAGTGATATTCGGTTGTATTAAAAAAATATAGACCTTCGGAATACATAAATACATGCGAAAAATAATATATTTATACAAAAATATAATGTATTTGAGTGAATTTTTACATAATACAACGTATTTGTATTGTAGACATGTGATTTTTGACCCTCCCCAAGATTTTATATATTTTAGCATGTAAATATTTAATTTAGGCCTAATATAGCTATTTTAACTAGTTTTGACTCCTTTACTTTATTATGTCACAAAAATAAAAGTTACAAAAGTATTTTCTTTATTTAGCTAATTAACATTTTTATCTAGTTACTTTTAATTTATCTATGTTATATAAAATTCAAAAATATACAAAAATAGTTCCACTTTATTTTTAGGAATATTATTTTAATTTTTGCGATAATTTTTATCTAATTCCATTTTTATCTTTAGTATGATATTTGAAAAATACCAAAAAAAAATAGGTTTGTTTTAACGGTTAGTCTTATTTTAATAGTTATTTTATTTAAGCAGGATTAATTAGTAAATAAGGTAGTATTTTACTCTTGTTCACGGAGAAAGAATAAATTTGGGCTCAAACCCACTTTTAAGCCTAATTTTCGGACCTAGCCCATAATTCCCAAGCACATAATTCCTAGGCCCATACCCCTTAACCTAACCTAAGAAAAACCCTAAAAAAACTAACCTAGACCCTAGACCTGAATCAGCCGCTGATAACACATAATACACGACCCCCCCGAACCATCGTCTTCTTCATCCCACCCCAAACGACCCTTCACTCCTCCTCTCACCAACCAGCGACGAACTCGCCGGAACACACAAACGACCATCCCTTTCCCCCTCTTTCCCATTTCTATCTCCCTCCTCTTAGCAAACCAGCAACCCCATTCTCACCAGAATTCCTCCGATCTACTCCAACCGCCGCGCCTCACCACTCACGCACACACATAGTCGAAAAACAAAAAGACGAAGAAAGCCAGATAGCAGAGTTGTTACATCGCCGGTTATTAGAGTGGTAGTGTGTTACAGAGATGGTAGTTAATTCAGTTAATCTTAGTTATCACATTAGTCCTATAGTTTTTATTATAGCAGTCTAGTCCTATGTAATTTAAATTTCAGTCCTTTTTGGTACTATTATAGAATAGTACAAGATGCTGTCGTACACTGCCAATTGGCAGCAATCACAGATCCCTAGGCAATAGAAATGTCAGTCTAGACGTTATTTATATTCCCTTGTACTCCAATCATTATCTATGAATGAAATCTATCTAAAATTCCTCTCCTAACTTTCTTTTCTTTCTTCTGCTATTCTTCTGTCTTCTTCTTCCTTTTCCTTCTTAATTCTCCTTAGTCACTACTGCTGAGCGTAGTACTAACAATTTGGTATCAGAGCATCAGTCCTCCGACCACCATGGCTGATCAAAAACTAAAAGGCATAGAGGAAAGCATCAAAAAGTTGGATGTTCAGGTTCAGTAGTTAACCACTGGTATTATATCTGTGTCGACAAGGGTTGACAAAATGGATGAGACTCAAGCTCAAAATGCTGAAACCCAAAGGAAGCTTGAGTTGATCCTGCAGCAGTTGATGAAGGATCGAACACCAGAGACACCTTCACCTATGGTTGGATCTTCATATGCTCAAAGGGTATCCATGCCAGTAGGAGGAGCAACCAGTGGAGGGAGTGTTCAACAACCAGTTCATACTACAGCTCCACTCACACCCCCTTCAGCAACTGATGCTCGAGGCATAACTTTTCCACCAGCTCCTATGCAGAGAAATCCCCACCCTCCTATTCTACCAACTCCAGTTGGAACCGCAGAAGCAGGGAACCAATAGCTACAAGTAGCCACAGCTGAGGCTCCAAAGGGCAAGCTCATGTTTCCTAAATTTGATGGAACCAACCCCAGGGCTTGGATAAGAAGATGTGATAGGTATTTCGAAATCTATAAAGTACCTGACCATCAGAAAATGACTTACATTGCTATGCACCTCAAAGACAAGGTGGATAACTGGTTTGATGCCTATATTATTGATAGATGAGGAATAGTGGACTGGCCCTTATTTTGTATGGATATCTTTAGAAGGTTTGTCCATATCAGACCTTTGGATATTATTGATAAGTTTAGTAAATTAAGGCAAGAGGGTAGCATAGAAGCATACCAAGAAAAGTTTGAAGAATTAAGGATTCACATGATGATGATCAACCCTCACTTGAATGAGCTGCACTTTGTAGCTAGTTTTGTGAGTGGATTGAGGCCAGAAATCAGCACTTGGTTAGGATTTATAACCCCTCAACTCTTTTAGACACCTATCAAGTAGCTAAACTGCAAGAGGATGCCTTAAAGGCCTAGCAAAAACACTTATATCGACCCCCTCAAAACACCACCAGAAATTACCATCACACTACCCCAAGAATCACCTTCCCTCAGAATCCCCTTCCTCCCACCTATAATGAACCACTCAGACTCACATACCCCACCAGAAACACACCCCCACACCAGACTATCCAAACAACCAAGCAGGCGCTTCTGGTGCTGCTGGCACCAACCAACCAAAGAACCTAACCTATGATCAGATGAGAGAAAGAAACATTTGTTTCAGATGTCATGAGAGATATCACCCTGGTCATCAATGCAAACCCAAGGTCCTAAACTTAATGACAGGTACTAATGGAGCAGAACAAGAGGAGGTCTATCATGATGCAAGGGAAGCTACTGAAGCCACTGATAATGTGGAAGAAGCCATGGCTGTGGTAGAAGAGGAACATGCAGAATTGTCAATGAATGTAGCCCTAGGAATGATGACTTCACCTTCTACTATCAAGATACAAGGAAAGGTGAAGAAGCTATCCATATTAATCTTGGTGGATAGTGGATCTACTCATAGTTTTATTAGTCCAAGGGTGGCTAAAAGCATAGCAGGAATGGTTTATCCCTC